CCCCCCCCCCCCCCCCCCGCCGCACCTGGCGAGCCCCGGGACCCCCGAACGGCCCCGCGGGAAGGGGGGAGGGAGTTTGCCCACACAAAAGATGGCGGCGCCGCCGCCTCCCCGCCAAGATGGCGGCGCGAGACAAGATGGCGGCAGCTGCCCTCAGCAAAGATGGCGGCCGGGGCCTCGGCGCGCTTCTCTCCTCCGGGGGGGGGGGGGGGAACTACTGGCCAATCAGAGACGCGGGGCCAGGCCTGGCCACTCCCCCGGGGCACCCCCGAGGGGATGTCTGGGGAAGGGACGGGGCCTGTGACGTCACTGGGGCTGCGGGGGAATCCCACAGGACCGAGGGGGTTTCCCTTGTGTGCCCCCAGCCCCCAATTCCCGGCGCGGCGCCTTTAAGAGCCCCGGCACGTGCGGCCCCACGTGCTCGCGGCCCCTCCGGCTTTGGCCGCACCCCATTGGCCAAAACTGGGTCAAGCTCCGCCCGCCGCGGGCCTCCCCATTGGCTCAATGTAGGTCAGGCCACGCCCCCCGCATGGCCGCGCCGCCTGACCGCGGCCACGCCCCCCGAGCTCCCATTGGCTGCTCGTGGCGCCGGGGGCGGGGCCGCGCTGGCGGGGCGGAGCTTTGCTCCCTCCGCGCGGGGGCGGGGCTTCACTCGCTGCGGGGGCGGGGCTTGGGGCGGTCCCGACCAATCAGAAGCGCGCAGCGTGCGCGGAGAGGGCGCGGTTTGCGGGCAGCTGGGCGTGGCTAACGCAGAGCTCAGGCGGGGATTGGGCGGCGGTGAGGAGGGGCGGGGCCAGAGCAGGACACGCCCCCTCACGGGCGCAGCGCCCCCCGCGGGGCTCGGGCCGAGGGCACCGGGACCCACCCGGGAGCAGGTGGGGACCGGGACACCGGGACAGGCGGGGGACAGCGGGAGCGGGGGGACACCGGCAGCGGGGGGACACCGGGACCCGCCCGGGAGCAGGTGGGGACGGGGGGGGGACACCGGGGCGGGGGGGGCACCGGGGTGAGGG